ACAACTATGTGAGTACTAAATGTTAGGAAAATTGTCTTTTCCTCTGTAGATGCCATGAAGATACTCTCATACTGTAGGTGATTACACACCTTCATTACAATTAAAATGTCTGCAACACTTTCATTAAGGTGTAGTGTGACTCGTAGTTTTAGTCTAAAGTATAATTCAGTTAGTTTTCAGCTGTGACGTTGAACCTGTATGATAGAATAATCCATATATGTCAGTATTCAGTGGAATAATATTCAGTAGTAATAGTATCAAATGTTATTGCAGTGAACTTTGAAATTCCAAAATGCATTAAATCAATTCATAAAGAATCATAAATCAAACTGAATAATTATGAGGTCAGACTACATTGCATGAATTCCCTTTGAATTAATTGACATTGGTGTATAGTTGTTCTTTCGAGACCTTTTATTTCTTCCAGTACTACAAGATTAATCATAGAACAAGTGAGAATATTTTTTGATCATATTTGCCAAATTTTTTCATTTTTCAGTGCTGGAAAATCAGACTCATTTCAGTAAATTTAAAACAAGAAATTCTTCTTTGTATTGTCATTAGATTTCATACAGGTTCGTGTTCAGGATGGCCTCCAGTGTTGTACCTGTTGCTAACACAAGAAATGGCTTCACCATCGTGACCCAAGTGGTACCAGGAGTAACAGAGCAATATGACCTCGGGACTGGAGTCTCCACTGGAGGCGCAGTTACTAAACTTCTGAAAGGAGAGCCAAAGGCACTGGGGGTAAAACAGTTCTGGTCTACTTTTCTTTAATACTTACACTGGGCATGTTTACACTTTGCTCTGATTGTCTCTTGTTCTCCACAGAGCGTCCAGATAATGATCGGGATCATGACGCTCTTATTTGGCATTATTAAAACAGTGTATGTTCCGGATGTGGGTGTCATTAGTGGCGTCACCTACTGGGGATCATGTCTTGTAGGTTCTCTTTGTGCTGCTTTATATTCCTGTATTTCCTGATTATGTTTTTATCCAAATGTGACAAAAACAAAACAAATTTCATTTCTTCAATTTCTTCTTCTTCTTCTTCTTCTTCTTCTTCTTCTCTCAGTATATCACCTCAGGCTCTTTGTCTGTTGCTGCAGACAAGAAAACTAATACTTGTGTGGTAAGTAAACACAGCATGTAGTGTATTGTATATTATATTAGTGAGATTTTACAGTTAATTAATGTTTGGAGAGATAATGGATATGTACAAAAAAAAAAAGCTATCATAAGTGAATGCGCAATGTCCACTTTATCTGAAACCCCTCAATTTGTTTGCTCCACCTCCGTCTTTGTTTCTCCTCTTGTGTAGGTGAGAAGCTCCCTGGTGATGAATATAATCAGTGCTGTGACTGCAGGAGTAGCCATCAGTCTGCTGTCTTTTGACATGTTCTTTCAGCTAGAAAGTTCATATTATCACAGCTGTTCCTACGAAAGATTTTTATGGATACTACAATCTGTGTGAGGTTTTGGTGTGTATCTCTTGATTAAATTGCTCTGTATGCTCTCTCTCTCTCTCTCTCTCTCTCTCTCTCGTCTCTCTCTGTCTCTCTGTCCCTGTCTTCTTTGTGTCTGCCTTTATTTCCTGGTGTCTCTGTGTCATCTGCTTTTGTTTACATCTACCATGTGTTTTTGTTTTCTAGTGCCATGTGCTTTTGTTGTAAGCTCCTCCCCTGTCCTGCCCTGAGTTCAGCCTTCACCTCATCCTTGTTTACTAGCCATGCCCTCTCATGAATTCCAGGTGTTCCTTGTCTTCTGTGTTAGTATTTATATATACCCCTGTCAGCATTGTTGCATGTTCCTGGTTTATGGTCATCATCTTAGTGTTCTTGTTTTCCTCCTCATGATTTCTTGTGTAAGTCTAGAGTCTAGAGTCATGTTCTTGGTAGTTCTCTTTGTTACCGTGTTTTGCTGTGTTCTCTGTGGATCCCTGTACTATTCATCTGCCTGCCTGTCATTGGAATTTTCCACATAAACACTCAAATAAAATGTACAAGGGCTTAAATAAAATGCACTCACACTTGTGCTCTGCCTTGTCAGCCCTTGCATTACAGCTGCACTGAAGTGCCTTAATTCGATCAAAGTCATATTGTGTTGATGTAATATATTTTATTCATGTGAAAGTGATGTACACATTGTGAATCCAGGAAACTCAATATACAGTTGCGTGCAAAGGTTTGAACCTTTGAACCTCCTACTTTTGGAATGTAGATAAATTAACATATTATCTACAGATGACACACTTCTGCACATTTCAATGTGCTGTTACTTTTTATTTACTATTATTTTTTATTTACTTTTTTTACTTTTTATCTTCTGAGCACACTGTGTCAAATTTAACACCAGATTATTTACTCAACCATGTGTCTTAATTTGAAATTATTCAGTCTAATAATTATCTCCTGCTTTAATTACTATCATTGTTTATTTTCAAATTATTTTTTAATAAATAATTATTCACAATCTTCTTGCTGATTGGAAATCTTCAGTAAATATATTTTACATGAAGCTTCCATTGATCCTGTATAGTAGAATGTCCCTGGTACTCATTTTCATCAGCGGTTTAATGTTCATGTGAGAGATTTGTTTTCATTGGGTTCAGCTTTTTCGAAATGCAGCAAAGATTCTTCAGTGGAAAATTTAACAGAAGAATGTTTTTCAGGAACAGTCAGGTGGAATCAGTGGAGTTCTGCTGGTGTTCTCTGTCCTTGAGTTCTTCATCTCCATCTGCACTTCTACATTTGCCTACAAAGCCACCTGCTGTGCTGGAGCTCCGGTCAGTGAGACTAAATATTTCTTGTGTTTTAAATTATTTGACTTTTTCTTTCTTTAGTGCTGTCAGTGAGCAGTCACACAGTTTTCATCTGATTTGATGACTGAAAGATTATGAAATGCTCTTTCTCTTTACAGGCAACAATCCTGAAACACCCAGTCTAGCTGACAATGTTTCAAATTTTAAGAAGATTTTCAAAAGAGGAAAATATTTTTCTAAATTATATTTCTCTTCACACTCTACAAATTTTCCCCTCGCTACAGTGACTCACTATCACCCCTGAGTTACAAAGTGGTATTACAGGACAGGACAGGCTGGGGCTATCTGGTTAGCATGCTTACTTCAATAGATATCTCTGCATCATGGTACATAGACATCTTTGACACACTGTCAAAACTGTTATTTCTTCATAATCTCTTAATAATTTTCATTAATTTTGGAATAAACTAAAAATCGTACAAATTGCTCAAGTCCTAAAGCCATTTTTGTGAAGTCTTAATCTTTTCACTGTTAATATCGAAATTAATTTCTTGCTTTTAAGTTCTAAATAAGTGTCTGTGATGTTCTAAATTTATTGTTGCTATGTCCTAAATTTATCTTTGTAATGCCCTAAATTTTTTTATCATATCCTATTTTTCTCTCTTAAGTTCTTAATTGATTCTGGTTAATTTTCTACATTTCAGTCTGTTAAAGTCTACATTTATTTTTGTTAAGTTCTAAAGTTTAACTACACATTCACTGAACACTTTACAAACACCTCCTTGTTCCTGCATTCTTTGTCCATGTTATCAGTTTTTAAACACTATGTCCACTCACTGTCCACTCTATTAGACACTGCTACATGGTTGGTCCACTTTGTAGATGTAATGTCAGAAACAGTACCTCAAATACTGCTGCACAGTTTGTGTTGGTGATCCTCTAGTCCTTCATCGGTGGTCACAGAACGCTGCCCATAGGACACTGTTGGCTGGATGTTTTTGGTTCTCAGTCCAGCAGCGACAATGAGGTCTTTAAAAACTCCATCAGCACTGCTGTGTCTGATCCACTCGCAATAGTGCAACACACACCACCACCACTACGTCATGTCACTGCAGTGCTGAGAATGATCCACCACCCAAATAATGCATTCTCTGTGGAGGTCCTGCAGGGGTTCTGACCATTGAAGAACAGGCTAACAAAGTACACAGAGAAACAAATGAACTAGTCTGTAAATGTAGAACTACAAAGTGCACCTATATGGTAAGTAGAGATAAAATGGACGATGAGTGTAGATACAAGGAGGTGTACTTAATGAAGTGCTCAGTGAGTGTAGTTTAAAGATATTTAGCTTGGCATACATTGTCAGAGGAAAAATACACACCTTTCACACACAGAATAAAGCAGAAGACATCAAAAGTTTCCATCAAAGCCTCCAGCAGCTTCCTGCTGATTTTTTTCCTGCTTATTTTGATTCTCTCTGTTTGATTTAGTCCTGATATTATTCAGAAACAAAAAAATCGAGTCACTTAACTCTGAATACTGACTTTGAACTGTGCACTGATAACAACCTGAGTGGTCTCAAGCTGAGTGAATGAAAAGCGAAAGCGTATGCAAGAGAGAAATAAAACACTTATTTAGACAATGTCATTAGACGCAACACCACCGTTCTACAAAATCAAACATCAAATGTTTGAAAAAATTAAACTTGTCACAAAGCATCAGCAACTACATTATTAATCCCCTTTTTATGGTAATTTTCGAGGAGGAATGATTGTACCACAAAAGACCATCACAATAGGCATTGGTTGGCATTTCTAATCTGGCTAAGAAACACCAGAGGATTATGGTCAGTGTAAACTACCAGTCGAGCACAATTCAATCCCACATGGACTTCAAAATGCTGTAATACTAACAGTAAGGCTTGACTTTCTTTCTCAGTTGTACGATAGTTTACCTGATATTTGTTACATTTCTTAGAAAAATAACAAACAGAATGTTTCACTCTGTTTTGGTCTTCCTGCAACAATACAGGACCAGCACCTTTTCCACTTGCTTCCACTTTGAGTTTAAAGAGCACATCCATGTTGTCTAGCGCAGCAAGAACTGAAGAACTACAAAGGAGAGCTTTAACAGAATCAGAGGACAGTTTATGCTCTTCTGACAACACAAATAACCAATCCAGAGCAGTAAGAGGAGAAACAAAGCTGGAAGAGTTACGACAAAAGGCACAGTAATATCCTGCCATACCTACAAATCGCCTTAACTCAGGCCAATTTGCAGGCATGGGAAAATCCAAAATAGCAGAGATTTTGGCATTCAGTGGACAACCTTGACCTTGAACCACTTCCCGGCCTAGATAAGTAACCACAGCTTCGGCAAGTTCACATTTTGCCAGATTCAGTGTGACGCTGTTTGTAAACAAGAAAACCCCTCAGAAAGAGTCCGCAGATGGTCAGCCCAAGTATATGAATAGTATATCATCCAAGTATGCTTTACAGTTATAAACTCCAGTAAGTACTAGGTTCATTAATCTTTGAAAAGTGGCAGGAGCATTTTGTAAACCAAACAGAAGAACTGTATACTGTAGAAAACTGTCAGGCGTCACAAATGCTAAAATGTCAGATGTGCGGGGAGTCAATGGAACTTGCCAACAGCCTTTAAGCAAATTAAGTTTGGTGATAAATTTAGCAGATCCAACTTTATTGACACTGTAAGTAACTATTATCATTTTTATCATGTTTCCTTTTTGTCTAATGCTGTTTCATCACCACAGCGACTAGCCTGCAAAATTTAGCTTCAGCTTAGCCTCCAACTATCTGGATTTACAGATCTACTGCTGCAATCAGGCCTCTTTCCTGAAGGACATCAATCATTCAGTCATTCCTTTTTATAGCCAGTCACAGCCATACTGCATGCAATTGAAAAAACTCATGCACATTTGATGAATTATTCCGCACTACAGATTTATATAACTTTTACTACAACCCCATTATAAACAGAGATGTGTCTCTCAATCCAAAATCAACAATCTTGAATAAAGGTACAGAATATTATTTAATGAGTTAATTAACTGAATGAACACCCTCCATAAAGAACAGGCTCAAATTTGTCTTCTTTGAGTTTCAATAACAGCAATAACAATAATAATTATTTTTTAAGGTTAGTGTTGCATGTACAGCAGGGGTGTCGCTAGGCCAGTTTTAGGGGGGTTTAGCCCTCCCCCTAAATGTTATTTAGCTCACCCTTCCCAAATAAATTATTAGTTCAAATCATCTATTGTTTATTCTCATTCATTCCTCATTATTCAGCTGTGCCACCACGTCTCCAGATTCACAATGTACTGTGATAGCAGGGAGCCACCTGGAGGAGGAGCTGCTGCTGCTGCTGTAATACAGTATTGCCTCTGCTGAGACCAGTGCTGCCTCTGCCTCTGCTGAGGCTACAGACTGACTAAAATAACATGAACAGTGAAACTCCTGGATCATCCAGTCAGACCTGGGGGAGGGGTTCTGATTCTACTTGCTCTGCAAAGTAACATAAGATGGCAACCGCTGAAGCTGAAAACAGGATTTTGACTAAAAGCTCACTAAAATAAACATTAGACCTCATTTAAAATCTGTAATATAGAGAGTCATATAGTAAGTAGTTACAAACTGAAGATACAATATGGATTTGTGGCAAATTATGTTCATAATGTATAGCTGGCTGTTGTT